TCGGAGCACTATGTGACCCGAAAAAGTTTTCACATTAGCACTCGTTGTGCGCGCGAGGGAAACGCTGCTTTTCCTAATCACTGAAGAGTGACACCTTATCATGTTCCCAGTAAGATGGCCACCGCAGGCGTCATCTTGCCAGAGGCACGGCTTCACTCCTAGGCAATGACTTCCACTCCAGCAATATTTTTATTCCTCCTTGGTTCGATTGCGATGCGCGCATAGAGGCACTCTAACACACCGCCTTCAGAATATCATTCACCAATTTTCTGACGCGGATCATCAAATAAACGCTTTATTCACTCTCTCTAGACGCAAGACTATCATCTTTTGACGAAACTTGCAGTGAAACATGCAGATACGGGGACAATTTTTTTGTTCATATTTCTTTTACTGTGACCCCCTTTATTAACATCTCTTTCGTCTCCCAATTATTTTACTTATACCCTTCCCCAGCACATGGCAGCCAGCCGGTATAAGAATGGTTGGTTGGTTGGTTCCTCAACACCATAGCACGACTCACCTAGGGGAATAGGCCATGAATGGGATGGTGCCCTGCTTTTAAAATTATTTCACTTCTTGAAAGAGAAAGTTAGATTAGTTAGGTAATATAGGTAATAATAAAAAGGTGGTAAATTTCTGAACAAAAAAACCTTGAAAAGAAACCATAATAAACTAATGAAAAACAAAAAGTTATACATAAAACAACTGAAGTTACTTATTTTCAGCATTCCATTCTTTTAGATTCTCGTAAGAAATTTGTAAGAGCGGTAAAAACACTCTTGTGTCTGAATCCAAATGCGACTGCGCCAAATCAAAGAATCACCGGCAGTGTCAAGTTTAAGCCCAACTTTCGTAGGGGTTCTTCTAGTAGATTTTTCCATTGAGTTTTGTATTTTCGGCATAACAAAAAGAAGGGCTCTAAAGATTCCCTCTCATTACAATAAAGGCACAAAGGCGACTGTGCCAGACCCAACCTGTGAAAGTAAAAGTTCAAAGAGGGGACTCGACAACGCAGCCTGGTAATCACTATTTCTTGCTTTCGTGATGAACACCACTTGTTCTTCCAAGGGAACTTTAGCTGTGGGTTGTCTGATACGAACAAAGGAGATTTTTCAAAGTTATTGGCCGTTGTGCGTTTTTCAAAGCGTACTGCTGTGATATATTCCGAAGTAGGCAAAATGGGTAAAACAGGACAATCAAAAGAAGATACAGCTAGTGCATCTGCATGCTTATTTAGAGCTAAATCTCTATGACCTGGTAGTCAAACTAGTCAGATGAGTCGCATATGTGTAGGATTGAGCGAGTAGAAAGTTTCTAAGGTACGCCAAAACGTTGGTGAGCTTAAGGCAGTACAGACCGAGAGACAGTCTGTTAGAACAATCACCGCTGATAGATCTTGCGGCACTTTACGCAATGCTAGGACTATTGAAAGTAGTTCAGCTTGGTAAATAGGTGTAAAGTCGGGTAATTGAATTGAGAAAGCCCAATCTAGAGGGGATGATACGATTCCTACGCCGGCCTTTTCTTCATAAACAGAAGCGTCAGTCGCTATCACAATGGATGCTTCTATAGTGGTCAAATGATCTCCCAAAATGACATTTATATACTGATATGGTAAATTTTTTGCATTCTTGAGATATATATCGTCAAATTCTATCCTAATTGCATCTACAGTGTTGAGCACAAGTGTTTTCCGAAGGTTAACTCTTAAGGGCTCCAAAAGTTTCTGAGTAAATATTACTTGAGGGCACCGTAATGTAGGTCATTGGTGGTTGAAAATGGAGGTCTGCTGGTTAATGAACACATACTCTGACCTCCGCTGAGGTGATGCATAGATTTTAATGAATGTACGTACTGTTAGAATATGAAATATTTCGATAAGAGAAGTCAGGCGGAATTCTTCGTATAGGATATTGTTGGCAACATATTTAGGTAGCCCTAGGCATAAGCGTAAAGATCCGCGTTGTAGCAGAATCAGTGGTCGAAATTTGTAGGCCGGAGCGCCAGAAAACAAAACACAGCCGAATTCTAATATCGGTTGAATGTACATGCAATATATCATAACGAGCCCGTCTCTACGCAAACTGGCACGATAATTACGGAGCCTGCGCAGCATCCCTGCGGCCCGTGCTTCTTTAGCAGCCATGTTTTCTATGTGGGGACTCCAGTTAAGTGTTTCGGTGTAGGTTACCCCCAAGTACCTAACTGACTCGACCTGAGGTATGGCGTCCTATCGGTACATTAGTGAAATTCGCACTGGGGCATTTTGTGCGAAAACTATGATTGTACTTTTGTTTGTATTGAGGCATAGGTTGATATCCTCCAGCCACGTTTCCAGGCTATGATTCATGTATGTCTGCAGAATCAGGTACAGTGTGTGAATGTCGGCTGACGCAACACAAAATGCAATATCATCGGCATACACATAGACCTTTACATCTTGCTGTATGGGAATGGTACATAGTAGTGTAATAAATATTAAGGGCGATAGTACTGACCCTTGCGGTATACCTCTCGTTTGCCCGTATGTTGAATAGTTGACACCAGATTGCGAGCAGTACAATTTTCTATCACCTAAGAAAGCATGGATCCAGGCCACAATGTATTGAGGCAGTCCTAAATTCTGAAGTGAATCTGGCAGTTTCACAAGCTCCACGCTATCATAGGTTTTTGTTATATCTATGGTCACCAAAGCGGAGTATTGTTTCTGATATCGAGCAAGTTGAATTCTGCTTTCGAGATCTACGTGCGCACACCAAATGGAGCAACCACGTCTGAATCAAACTTGACATGGGCTCAGCGCCAGTTTTTCTCACATCCATCGATCTATACGTCTATACAAAATTCTTTCAACGAGTTTTACTAGGTTCGATGTTGTAAGTGCAATGGGCCTGAAAATATCTAAGGTAAACCCAGCGCCTTGATTTTTTATTAATTGAATCACTTTCGTCATTCTCTAATCAGGTGGCATCGAAGAGCTTCTATATTTTATGTGCTGATTTTATCACCGAAGTCGTCATGCCATCAGACCAGGAACAGAATGGGGTAGTGTTCTGACTAGGTTTGCTAATTCTGCAGGTGTAACCTTTCAAAATCCTCAGTCCTATAGGCGAGACTGGGCTTGGTACGAGAGAAGTGTCGTAAAGCGACTTTCTAGGCCCTCAGCTATATCTTCTAGAAGGGCCTTCAGTTCAACTGGTGATGATACTACAGATTCTCTAATACTTTGTACCGGAAGAACTTTCTTAATTCTCAGAAAGCGAAAAAGTGCTTTTCTATTGACCGGCTTTGACAGGAACTCACATTCGGTCGCTGTTAATTTGTCCTTCACATTAGTGATAGTTCTCTTAAAAATAGCGGCCGTATACTTATAATCACTCCAGGTTCCTGGGACACTGGTTGAAAATGATTTTTTCCATGCAGCTTTTCTTAGTCTATAGGCCCGCGAACAGTCTGTATTCCACCAAGGGTTGGTAGACGGTTTAGAGCTTTTAATGGTGAATTTCGATTTATTTAACGACTCTTTGAAAATGTCGCTTATTCTGATGGCGTCTAGTTCTGCATCATTCGTTTGGTTAGATAAAGCGCCTCGTAACAATTTCTCCAAAGTATTAAAATTTACATGTGTTACGGAAGATCTACTCTTGGAAGTTATTGGACATACCACGTCGAACAATATTGCCATATGGCCACTACTTGTTCCCGAGTTAATCGCAGACCACGATAAGATGGAGAGGTTAGCATTAGAAAAAGTTCGATAGAGTACCGAGGAGGACTGATTACACATAAAAGTAGGAGTTTTTGTGTTTATGCATATACAGTTATTTTGCATATGCATAAACGTTTGCATTCAGATAAGTTTTCAAACCCCACGATATATGATGAGAATTGAAGTCAGGTACTATTACAATATCTTTTTGGCAATAGTGAACTGCAGTATATAAAACGAAAGAATTTAGAGCAACCACAGGAAAATAAGCAATAATAAATGAGAATGGGAGGGACCCAGGAATAGTAATGCTTAATGCTAAAATCTAGCTTTCTGAAGTCGTTGACTGACAAATTATTTTAGCACTGTGGGCCATTTTAGATGAGATAAATATTGCCGAATCTCCACACCGAGTTGGGCGGTCTAGACAAAATGTGCGGTAATTTTTAATCCTAAAATACTTATTTTCTGCAAGCATTAGCGAAGAATGGGCTTATGTCTTTGTCCTTCCAGTTGTTCCTGTCTTCCTCCTCGTCCCATTGTTTCGACTTTCAGTGTAAATAAAGCAAATGTCACCCAACTGTATTTATGGAACTGGTATTCTACAGAACGCAATTATTTTGGTGGTACGCGAGTATATTGACGGCTCTGCTTGTTATGGCAAAAACTAGAGTATTGTATGTTGATAGCGCAGTTCATGTCAGTGACCTTTTGTACAAGCAGACCACGAGGGGTCAACGCACGTGAAAACATTTGAAGTAAATGTTCTTCTCCATGAAGGAAAATAGACAATGTGGCCGTTTTCAATTTGAAGAGAAAAATAATTTATTTCTTCGTGAGTGCTAAAGAACTGTACAAAATGTTGAACATGTCCACTTCATTTCGCTTTTCCAGATGAAAGTTGAGATCTCTGCGCTCTTTGTTTTCATTGCTGCATCTGTGCGGTGTTACATTCTAAAAAACAATACTACAATATTATCCTATAGCGTCTTCAACTAACACTTGGCACAATGAACGTAATATGAAAAGTGCACAGAATGCAGATAAGCCTAAACTCTATTTTTTCTCTAAAAAAACTGGTGGTGAGATGAAATACACGCATCACTTGTCACTGAAATTCTTTTTTTTCTAGAGACAGATATGGAAGACTCCAGCATTGACAGCTGCCGATTCGCAGAAGTGTCCTTGAAATTATATTTACAGCAGCGCTAACAGTTACGTTTGAACGAACTTAATACAACACCCAAAGGCGAAGACACAGCGCAGCTATCTTTGGCGCATGGATGTTTTATGGCGTCCATAAGAAGTCTAGTTGCTCAAGTTCCCTACAGAATGGTCGCACAATCAACCCTTGTAACCGTAGCCTGCCATATCCATAGCCACCGCTGTATCCATAGCCGGCACCGTATCCGTAACCGCTACCATATCCGTAACCGCCACCGTATCCGTAGCCTCCACCGAGGCCAGAATGGGCGAGTAGTGCCCCACCACCGGAAATCTTGTTCACTTCGTGCACGGTTCTGACCAAAAAAGCTGGGCCAGCCACAGCCTTATATAGTCCAGGTCCTCCTCGAAGAAGAGCCACGCTGCTTCCGATGCCAACGCCGCCGACACCTATGCCTCCGCCGTATCCCAGGCCATAGCCGCCACCGTAGCCTGCTGCCGTAGCCACTGCTGTAGCCTCCGCCGTATCCTCCGGCGTAGCCACCACCGTAGCCACCACCGTAGCCACTGCCGTAGCCACTGCCGTACCCAAGGCCGTAACCAATGTCACCGGCAATAGTGATGGATAAAACAGCAGCGAGGATGGTGGCAATGCACTGCAACGAATGATAAATTGAATACGTTAAAACACTGAAAAATAAAGCTATTTTTTGAAATATCTTCGAATGTTCTCTCTTGATCCTGTCAAAAAAAAAGCTGGTACACGAACAGTGGCATTGTGCTCAAGCAAGCTTCTTCTATATATGGGCGACACACTGTCTCGTACAAGGACTGAAAGCTAAGGCAGTTGCTGACAGCACTTGAATACATTTTAACACAGCTGACGACTGCGCCGACAGAAGAGAAGGAACAAACCGCAGCGTCTCTTGTTCTCGTGTGTCCAAGTAGTCCTCCAGTGTGTTTAATTATGTTTACGCTGTCATTATTGACCTCAAATGTTCGCGCTTTTCACTTGGTTTTACTTCGAAGGAGTTCTCAGTTAGGTGATTGCATGGGGACGGAGATATTGATGGAAGGTTGTGTTAAATGAACTCAAAAAGCTGGATTTCATAGTTGGCTCGGTCACAGTTTCTAGAAACGATCGCGGGGGTTCATAGTCTTTCGGCTTCAAGGAAAACGAATTCCCATGTCTTTATGTCGTCTCTTGGGCTAAAATTATCGTCGTTCTTAAAACTGCGCGTGCACGTTTCGATCTACAGCTAAGTTAAATTCTGAGGCGTAAATGGTATAGATGGTTACGAAATGTTGCTGTTTATTCAGATCAAAGTCAAACAAGCTAAGCATATTCCAGCTTGGACATTTAACCATGCTTACTGTTATTGTCATACAAATGCTCCCACGTATATGTGAGCGTCTTAAAGCTAACATATAGAAGGAAAACAAACTTTACATAAATTTCGGAATTTTTAATTATCCACTAAATCTCACATGTTAAACGAGTCACTTAGCTGCCTTTATTAAAACATTGGTTGTTAAAAGTGCGGGAAACGTGCGTATCAGATGGGCACTTCATGCTATAGCAAAAGACCACCCCAATTTTAAAAGGGCTGCCCATAATTTTATCGCCAATTGACCATATTTATTGCATAACTTCAAATCCGTAGTCCTTTTCATTGACAACCTTTTGTTCTATGATATTGTATATATCAGATTTTTCATCGTGTTACAACAAATAAAACTATTATATATCAGACTATAACTTGTTAGAATATAGTATGAGATTATAGCTAGCTGCCCATAAAAAGCGTGACAATTACTTCAACTATGAACTTCTATTTTATCGCATTCATTCTCTGCTCGATGTTTCTCAGTTGTGTTTGAAAACTATCTCCGTATCCACTTGGCACATTAGCGCCGACACGAATTCTCACCAAGGCGTTCATGTCGCTGCTTCTTCCACTTGCTCCGAGGCGAATGATGCCTCAACGAGCATCGGTGTGTAGCTTATATACTCGTCCTACTGCGGGAACAGTCTATTCGGCAACACGGCAGTCACGTAGCAGGCAGCCGTATATCGAAGTTATTTTGCGATTTTCAGCGAGCAGGAAAAGACAAGGTCGCTTGCTGCTCGTGCCTGACGTAAGTAACGCACAGCTCTCGTTCCTTCCTACAATATAGCCAATGCTGCAGAAAGCGGAAACGAACGCTGCAGAAGACCAACGCTTCCTACACAACTTAGCCGTAAGCAAAAATTCTGCATATACTTGTGATATGCCTGCCACGCGTTTCCTCGCCGCTGGCGCGTGGTATGGTTTAGCGGAGAAGTTTTAAGGTGCTTCTTACGTGTTCCAACGGACACGGAAGATGGCCACTGTTTCAAAGTCACCGGGGACGCCGACAGTAGCAGGAACATGCTGAAATTTGGCTTGCACTGTGCATCTTTTGCCGCTTCATTTCTACGTCAGTATTAACGCACGTCAGTATTTACGCATAACAATTACCTAGTGTGTGTTAGGAGTGAAACTCACGTTACCCAAGAAGGTAGTTACGGTCCACTGTCAAGGCATTTATCAAACTTGCTGGCCTACCTCTTCTGCCAGCTACAATATAGTGACGCTATCAGGATTGTACTGTTGATTGTCCGTTCTCTTTCCGAGTATACTGATTTTGTAATCCAAAACGATGGAAGTCGTTGTAATTTTGTATCTTATCGTGCTTCCCTTTCACAATTATTGTTATTTTTTCTTCATATTCTGCAGGTGACTGATACACGTGCACTCTTTATTAATGAAAACATATTGTTGTCACTTTTCTCAATCAAGAAATTTTTTAAAAACTGTATTACTAGGCATTATCCTATCTTTACATTTGTACTATTGAATGAATATATAATATTTTAGACTCTTCTGCCCACTCCTGGAAAAATCCCTGACAGGACTGACAGTATTACTAATTAAAATGAATAAAAGAAATCAGTCATATCAAGTCGCAAAATATCGCACTAATAAACCATATACAGTTGCATTTATTCGTCTATAGCACGCTCATGCAAGCGATGTGTCCTTCCTAAAGCAAGAACTATTGCGCTGGGTATACTGGCTTTCATTCCTGTGATAACCACACCATCAATGTACGCAGAATACTGTGAATATTTATGCTCTGCAGCCTGTGGGAGCATGCAAAATAATGTATCCAATTCTTCATCGATGGTATAAGCAGAAAAATTTTGCTTGTTATGTTTTAGGTTTTTTTTCATGAGCTGTAGAAATTAGAAGTGAACAAATCTTCGACTCTTGCTTGGTATTAATGTTGGTACTTTTGCTTGCTTCGACTTTTGCTTGATAATAATCGAAAGCTAATCAGAGTGAAAGACAGCTGGGTAATGATATACAAGAACCAATTTTTATAAAAAAAGCAGAAAAAAAGGTATCTTCCGGCATATATTAGGAAAGCACAAAATATGTTTATTTGTATGATACGGGCATGTTTTTAAAAGAAAATCGAGTGTGCTCGTAGTTATTTTCAGACCTTAAGTCCCCAGAACCTAATCGCACGGAAAACCTAACGTGAATGCTATAGGTACTGAATATTTGCAACTTTCGTATTAACTTCTGATGATGTTATTTGGAAGGGGGGTCTGAAACTGACTTCACTTAAGGAGCCAGCCCACGAAATTCAAGTGCACCTTGGCAATGAAACCACTAAAAATGCAGGGGTAAAAGGCCAGATTGTACAAAATAGAGCTTGACATGTTTCGCTACACAGGGGCAATTCTCATTTTCATTCGGGAATGCTTAGCTATTTAGGTATATTGTGCTGACATACACTGTGAAAAATTACACCGAGGTCGGAGTAAAACGCTTGCATTTAGCGTCCCGCATACTCGGAGCAATTTTTGCTCCAGAACCTTCCGGAGCAAAGTTTCTGCTCAGCTGGCCGGAAGAATATCGTGGTGCACCCGAAGGCGACATTACACATTACATTCTAGCACCGTTGCAGTCCGGTGACTGCAGCGACATGGCGAGTCATGGCGCTGAACTAATACGAGTGGCCGCGCCCTAGGTGCTTTTCTGGTGACCGCGCGCTGCCTAGGTACCCAAATCGCGCCAACGTGTTATGTGACTACCGGCATGACGTCACACTCCCCTCTTCCCTCTTTTACTTCGGAAATCACTTCCTACCTGAACGCCTATGGCACTTTTGACCTAAAATCGAATTGCGCATGCAACCAATGTTTCATCACTACGATGTGACATATGCGCTGGAACTAAACAAGAATGCCATTTTATTTTTGTACAAATTGGACTATTGATAACTTTTTACCATCTGCAAAGCCTTTCGTCATCTCTCTACTTGCTACGAACTGCGCCCCATCCCCCTTCACTGTGTCAGCTTCATGCAACTTTCCCATCTGTCTGAAAAAGTTGCCAACCCGTTTCACAATTGATACACTGTTTCGCATGTGCGTGCTGCACTTGAGACAATACCACGTATGTGGCACTTTTATATGATGAACATGTAAAGCACTGCATATAATATTGAACAGTAATTTTATTCATCATTTACTTTTGCTGATAAGCGCTGTAGTTGATGTTTTGCTGGTGAACCTACTCAAATTGTATCACTGCGCAATAATTACCTAAGGCCAGATTTCGAAGCGGCAAAGCTCTGATGTACTACTCGCATGAAGGACTCCAGCTGACGCATTTGAAGCAACAACCTACCTCTAATAAAGAAAATTTTACTCGGCACGTTCAATTACAGGCGGGACGAATGATGCCATTCTGCTGAAATTGTCTGCCAGTACAAAAAATAAGACACCACCAAGCTAATAGTATACTTCTTTCAGTTTTCAAGATCTTTACACATTGTTTTGCAATGTCTTGTGCATTACGGTACAAAATATTATGTCTACCGTATTCAATAAATGCTGCACGGAAATGTGCAAAATATTTGCACCCACTTCAGCTCCATTCGTACCACTAGGGTTTCTCGGCCTGTTACGTATATTGAAAGGATTCCGAAAATTTGATTCTCACGAGAGTTACAACAAGCAGAAGAAAAACGACAGGCACGATATCGCATAAGTGTCGATGTCCAGAAGACGTGCAATCTATGTCTGCGTTTGTTCTGCAGAACTTACAATCACACGATGCTGGTTCCCGTATTACCAACACCTCACAGTTGTGTTGTGAGACATATTTTGAAATAAACAAACTGAATATTACTTACTAGAATGTACAATTTTTGTTTTTTTCTTTCTCTCTACAACACGCATGTTATGTTACATGTGCATTTTGTACGCCTGGTATTTATTAACACATCCTTTTTCTCTATATCTGCCTTTTCGCCATACAAAAGCGAATCGAAAACTCGTGCATTATGTCGTTATACAGAGAGGTCTCCGGTTGAAAACTCTAAAACGTTTAGAAGCCCATATTCTGTTTCTATGCATCAGTGGTTTGCAGTAACTAAGATGCTATCTTAGAAACTTCTTGGGTATCTTGTATATGTATCTCTGTACCAGATAAATGGATAGTTATGTGGGGTATTTTTTCAGTGCTTGGCTTACTGTCAGTTAGTTTCAGACGAGACTCACAGCCACAGTAGAAAGATTGCTGATCCTCCTTAACCTCGTTCAGAAAAGCAAAAAAAGCTTCTGTAGCAAAATGGATAGACAATCCTGATAATCTCATGCACTGCAGGGAAAACAGTGCTGTGATCGAAAATGCTCATTCTACAATATATTCTATAGAGTAGGTTTTTTTTTGTATTTTAACTTTCGAGAAAATAAATGACATGCCGATATTTCGTGCTCCATATTTTGATTAGGATATTTACCACACAACTTTCACAGGCGCACCTTGAGCTTGTTCTATTTTATAATAATGGTGAGACAGTGTTTAGCTTTAGCCGAACCCATAGTAAATAAGATGGGTTTATGTGAAATGAGTAGTCCCTTGTCACATTTATTCCTTGTAGCCGTCGTAGCCTCTTCGATAGCCTCCACTCTAGCCACCTCCGTAGCAACCGTGATATCACCTGCTGACACCAGAATGAGCTAGAAGGGCTCCTCCTCCGCTGGCCGTGTTTACATGATGCACAGACCTGACCACGACAGCAAGTCCAGCTACAACCTTCGCAAATGCCGGTTCTCCACTCAACTGGGCCACACTGCTACCGATGCACACACCACTGACGTCGTAGCCATCATTTAGGCCACCACCATATCCACCACCATAGGACACCACCATAGCCCAATTCTCCGCTGTAGCCTACTCTGTAGCCACCATAGCCGAGTCCACAACCTCCATAGCCAAGGCCTCCTAGACCGTAGCGTCCAAGTCCGCCCGCTGTTCAACAGCCACAATAGCACAGAAGGCGGTGACAGTGCACTGCGTACACAATCACGATAGCGTTATTCATTCTTTAGGTAGTACAATAGAACCCAAGAATTCAATTAATGACACTCAACAACAAAAACCATTCTTAACATGAACGGGCCCAAGGAAGTACTGTAAAAACGCAAGTATGCTGTAAAGTAGCAATATTTCCAGTCCTTCATACGTGGAGAGAATGCCTTTGGTACATCGCACAATATCGCATTTTGCTAAATGCTGTACTGCATTCCATTTACTTGCAAACTGTAGACATGGAAACAAAAGGAGGCGTTCGCGCTCATTTTGGGAAGATAGCGGAAACTAGTGTCTCGTGTCTCAACTGAGTCAGCAGTTCTTCCTTCGAGATGAGAAGCGGAAAAGGGCATCTTCGATAATGGTGTCACGTTTAGATCTAGGCGTAGCGGTGGTAGCACGTTGCACATTACTCGGCGTTGCCTAGAAATCTACGAGAGCTGTGACACTGATCTTTTTTTTTTCTTGTCGTGAGTAACCTGCGCCGAGGAAGTGCGGCAGTTGTGACCGTCGCCTATTGTGACCGTCGCCGAAAATTTGATTCAGTTGTTCAGAGATATCGCAGGTTTTTAGGGTCAATATTCAGTTCAAGAAGCTCAAAGGGTTGGAGATTATGGGCTGTGCAACATGTACTCATATTTCCCTTCAATCAGGGAACGACTCCATATTGTGCCAAACAAGGTAACGTGTGACAGAGTCAACCAGCGTAATAATGACATTCCTATTTGTCTTAAAATATCCGTTCACTTTGACGCTGTTCGTCTGAATGCATGTGATGGTTCGTCGCTTCTTAAGCTTTCGTTTTGGAAATGTGACGCACCTAGAAGGAACTTCTGCAATGTGACCTGTGCTAAAAAAATAAAACGTTGATCCTCTCTTCGTGCATTCCATGATTACGCATTCTTAGTTGCGTAATTATTCGCAATATTTAGACACCTAAATCTAACTGAAGAACTAGTCACATTCGGAAAGGGAGTGCGAAAGTAGCCGCTTATTTCTGCGCTTCTTTGCAAAGTTCATCGAAAGACTTTCATCTTCTGTCTGGAGGTTCAGAGTGACATCAGGCGCCATCAGCTAGTAATATGAAAGATCAATGTTTTTTTTGAACGCAGTGCTACTTACTGGTGCTTGGCAGCATCGGGTCCTTTTGCTGAATTTCATGAATTTTAAAGCGAAACGTAGAACACACCTGCTTTTTCGCTCATAGCTCCACTTTGTCAGCGCAGCGTAATGAAGACTTAAATCTGTGGAAGTACACATCTATATATTTTCTAAATAAAAATTGCCCCATATCTTCATAATACACTGAAAATGTCGTCGAAAGACCATAGTCTTGCATCTGGAGAGTGGGAAGAAAACGTTTATTTGATGTTTTGTGCAAAAAAATTGGTGAATGGTGTTCTGGAGGCGCTGCGTTAGAGTGCCTCGAGTGTGCAGCGGAGGTGAACGATCTAATCAAGTCACGTCATAAGTGAGACATGAGTGCTATATGGCAGTTATCTTAGAAAACGAAGGGCGCGCCTTGCGCGCCCGTCTCAGAGGTGATAAGGTGTAGAACGCAAGGCGACGGGTAGGTGCCACCACCATGTCGTCTTAGCAAAGTGTTGGAAATACTTGCCTTTCCGTGCCAGCATTATGCGGTCTGCGCATCTTGATAAATGCTACGGCCCATAGAATGACTTATATATGCCTTTTCTAGTAAAAACCACACATACAGAATATTTATGTGTTGTTAGGGTGCCTCAGATATGTGCAATTATTGATTTTTAATTGACAATCGCACAAGTATCAACACTGAACGCAATACAAGTATGAACGCTGAACGAGCGTGAACGCAATATTGGTGGGCGCTGTGGATGAGGTCAGCAGTTTGGAATATCGTCTAGAGCCTTTTAGGATACCGTTAAGGACGCACAAACAGACAAATGTACAGACAGCCCAAAATCACCAAGAAAGGCTATCGCCAAGAAGACTATCGTTTTTAAAGGTTGCCAAGAAAGACAATAATTTTTTAAAATACACACTGCCAAACACATACGTATTGGCATTGTGCCTCAAGTATGCGTAAGGTATGATTTTTTGATTCTCAATTTTCACGTCTATAAACGCAGCCACCAGGTCAACATAGCATGGCTTTGAGCATGCGCCTAAACTCGTTTGACAGACAGCAACAGACAGGCAGACCAAACGTTTTGCGGTGAAAAGGTGGCGGAGGCCGCACGGAGAACATCCGCGTGCACTTTATAAAACAGCAGCCGGCCTTAACCGTTCGGTTGACGGTGACGCCACCGAAGAATGTGTTTGCAAAGCTTGAATCGCACGTACTAGCAAAATGCTGATCAGTCACTCCAAAACTAAAGACGAGGACCAGAGATGGAAGCCGAACTCGTGCAGTAGATGGCGGAACGTATTGGTACATATATAAAATATTGCGACCCCATACAAGAGGAAGTACATTAAGCTATGATTTCAGTTAGGTTAGTGGAATGATTAGAGATAACATTCCGGACATACTAATCTTAAAAACATTCAGCATAGTAGTAAGGTAGGCTTGATGAGGAACCATGAAAATAGCTCACTCAAGTTTAGGTGTCCCAAGCAATTTGTTAACTATAAGCTAGGTATAATTCGGTGCCGAGGCAAGGTTGAGCCGACGACAACCACTAACCAAATTAGCAAAGGTAGTGATGTTAGTAATGTGATTAGCGATCATGATAAATTAGTGAAAATTTGAAAACCCAAATGTTTAATCCTTATAGTTAGTAGTGGCTACCTGACTGATGCACGAACTTCTATGTTTATTGATCGCGTAAGCTTTCACCTCCGAACAAAATATTCGAGACAGTCTCAGTATTGAAATTTCAAAATACCCTTCAAGACCAAAACTGTCGTCAATGTCCGAGCTCTTGTTGCGGAGCGTGATCCCTCTGGCCTGGACAGAAACTATCGTCTTGATCAACCGGCACAAGGTCTCTTCAATGTCGTATTTATATTCTGCTTCACTTGCAGAACACGTGCGTGGTAATCGATAACTGAGGGGCGAGAACACCAGTGGCGTAACCATAGACAGAATCGCGCCCATGGCCGATATATCTGTCACACTCTTGCTGCTTCTGATGAAAATGTTATGATAAATATGCTTGGAATGTTATTACTTTTCCCCCATGTATTGAAATATGGAATATTATATCAGGTGACATTCGCTTATTAGAAAAAAGATGAATTTTTGAAGGCACTAAGTGACGGCATACGCATATCTTTACTTGTAGCTTTGCATTGTTCGTATAAATAACTTTAGTGCAATTTTCGTGATTATTTGTCCTATCATTGTTTGTAGATATTTCAATTATTCTCAGTTTTTCTTGTATTTTTTCTGCTCTGTACCCACTCTTGCGATAGCCCTGTATTCGGGCTGCAGTATGTGAAAATAAATATATTACTATCCATGTTATCAATAACCAATGAAGTTGCATGTACTATACGACTGTTAAGGCTTTTTTAAAAAGCTTTTTAAAGTCCATGCGTCTCTTTGCGGAAGAATGCACGACTGCCACCTGTAGATAGGATTCCTGCTGGGATGTAGATTTTCGTTCTTCCGTACGTCGGGACAAGAATTTTATGCGTGCAGTGCTTTTATCACGTTTTATGCACTCCATACGGTGGTGCCCGCATTCATTTAAAGGTCTTCGCATCCAATGATAGTTTGTCCTCGCATCTGGCACTTAAACAGGTGAGACTACGGTATTTTAAGAATACTTTCGAGAAAATTCTTGCCAATTGTTTCTGTGAATTTATTGCGAAATGTAGAAGGCTCTTCTATCAGCAACGCGAATTTAGACCAAACTATTCTGCGTCCATCACTGTTTTGACCCTAGCGCAATTTTAAAACGCACCATTATTTGAATGAAAATAACTTAGTAGCAGTTATCTTTCTGGACCTAAAAAGACCTTTGATACTGTACTGCACAGAATACTGCTAAATAAATTACGGCATTACGGTTTCCGTGGAACCATTTTAGAACTTTCTTTGGACCACCTGAATGGTCGCAAACACGTTGTAATATTTAATGACTTCTTTTCTTCTATGAGTCAATTGAATACTGGTGTTCCCTAGGGTTCGTTGCTGGGATAATTCCTGTTCTCCTGGTATATAAATTAGCTTCCGCGGACATGACAGTGATCAAACATTCTCATGTACGCTTGCCAATACTTGTGTCATAGTGACTGATCAAAATCTAGGTGATCTTGAGTATAACTCTAACATCAAGTTAGATAAAGTTGCTCAATAGTTATCAAATAGTAAGCTCGTTACGAATACTGATAAGACAAAAAGTACTCAATTTAACTCTAAATCAAAATGTATTTTTATTGTTACACAGAATAAATTGACAATTTTGTGATCAAGCAAGTAGTTACAATTTGTTACCCTATTATCCCTATAAATAAAAACTTAAATTGGCAGAATACTATTCAGAATGTGTGTTCCAAATTAGCCTCAGGGCGTCATGCACTTACTCAGGCTCGTCAACATTTTAATAACACTACCCTACGAATACTTTTTATGCTTTCGTTCATTGTAACATCCCAAAGTGAATTGAGCCTTAGGGTGGCACGAACACAACTCACCTGGCCCCAGTTAGACAACTTCAAAAACAGGCTGCAAGAATCAGTACTCATTTCAAGTATAATGAACCTAGTAAAGCTCTCAACCCTATCAATGTGTGGATTTTTCCGGCCCTTTTCGTTCTGCCAGAAACGTTCCGTAAATAAAATATTCCGCGAACTAACAACGTATATAGTGAACGGATTTAACAGTTCGCTCGAATAAAGAACCGGAATGCTATGCCTTTTGAAATATAAATTAAGTGTGCTATAATTTCACCGAGACCCTAAAAAACACCATTTAGAAGAATGTTCTGATTTATTAATTGCCGGTTTTGTGTTGTATATGTAATTTTATGTTTAGTATGTAATTTAAGTATGTAAATAAAGGTCGTCCTTTCTTTTCTGTGATGTAACAGTTTTATTTCTTTGTCATTTGTGTTGTTCTTTCATATACTGTACTGCTTCTTTTCAGATTCTTTAATAAATAATATATTACTTCTTTAGTTATACTTTTTCGAAGTGCCCATACAAAATGTATCTTTTTGAACCCAAACTAGCGTGTGGCTCAGGTTCCCGCAGTGTGTGAAAACCTCATGAAATAATTGCGAGCAATAGAATTACAATCCCAGTTATTCGGATATTTAGTTTTTTTGTAACCACTGAGAACTAGCTGCAGGACTTGTAGTAAGAATTTTTTACTCTAAATTGTAATGAACAGAACTGATATTTTACCAAACGCACTGTTTTTCAGAAGCCCTGAAAAATAGCAATTCTATTTGTTATGGCGAAAAATTAGAGTATTGTATGTTTGTAGTGCGCTTGACTTCGGTGACCTTTCGTACAAAGAGACCATGGGGGGTCATTGCACATAAAAGCACTCGAACAGATTGTTTTGCTTCACGATGACAACCAGACAACGTGGGCATTCTCGATTTGAAGTACAAATAAATTTATTTATTCCTGAGTGGTGAAGAACTGTACAAAATGTCGAAAATCCCCATATCATTTTCCTTTTCCAGATGTAAGATGAGATCTCTGCGCTCTTTGTTTTTACACGTGGATCTCTGCGATGATAGGATGGGAAAGACAATAACACCGCAATATTCTACAGTGTCTTCCGCCAAAGCTTGCCACAATGAAGGTGTTATGAAAAAATGTACATCATGCAGAAAAATCGAAACTCAATTTTTATAAAACAAAAAACTGGTGATGCTATGAAATACAAGCTTACCTCATCATTCAAATTGTTGTTTATAGGAACAGATATGGAAGACTTTACTGCGACGCTGTCTTTTCAGAAAAGTGTCTTTAGAATGAAATTTACAGTACCGCTAATGATTCCGTTTGTGCGAACTTTATACAAAACCCAAAAACAAAAACACAGCGTGGCTAATTTTGAGGCATGGATATTTTACGGAGTCCAAAAAAAGTCCATTTCTATCGTTCCCAATCAACCCTTGTAACCATAGCCACCATATCCATAGCTGCCGTATCCGTAGCCTCCACCATATCCGTAGCCGCCACCGTAACCGTAACCACCACCGTATCCGTTGCCTCCTCCAAGGCCAGAATGGGCGAGAAGTGCCCCACCACCGGAAATCTTGTTCACTTGGTGCACGGTTCTGACCAAGAAAGCCGGACCAGCCACAGCCTTATACAGTCCAGGTCCTCCTCGAAGAAGAGCCACGCTGCTTCCAATACCAACGCCGCCAGTGCCTATGCCTCCGCCATGCCCCAGGCCATAGCCGCCACCGTAGCCACCACCGTAGCCGCCGCCGTAGCCGCCGCCGTAGCCACCGCCGTAGCCACCACCGTAGCCTCCACCGTAGCCACCGCCGTAGCCACCACCGTAGCCAATGCCGTAACCAATGCCACCGGCCATACTGGTATAGAAAACAGCGGCAAGGATGGTGGCAATGTGCTGCAACGAATGAATGGAGTATCTTAGAACACTTAGAAATGAAATGTTTGAAGTTTTGTCACTTTTCTCTGTCGGGAAGAAGCTGGTACATTAAAAGTGTCATTGTGCTCAAGCTAGCTTGTTCTATTATGAACGACCCACTGTAGAAGGACTGAAAGCTGTGCCATTTCGTGACAGTACTTCAACATATTTTAACACAGCGCATGACTACGCGGGCACAAGAGAGAAATGAACGCTGTGGTTTGTTACTTCAATTGTCTTTGCGTAGTCGTCCGCTGTGGTAAAATAGGCTCACAGTGTCTCGAATGGGCTGAACTGTTTGCGCTTTTTGCTCTTTTTTTTACACCGCAGAACTTAGTCATTGGGTGATTGCATGCAAATTGAAATATACATCAAAAGTTACTTCCGCTGGAGTAAAAATGGTTAGATTTTGTAGTAAGCTAGATCATATTTTTGGAAACGCTCTCTGGTTTTGATTGTCTTACAAATTGAAAAAAACTTTAAATTTTCATGTCTTTAAGTCATCATCGCATGTTATGTAACTGTCGTTTTCAAAAGTGTGCGGAAGCATAATCAATCTTTAGCTACATTATATCCTAAAGCGTAGATTGCATGGTAGGTCCTAAGATATCGCTGTATACTGAGGCCGACCTCAGAAAAACCATGCATATTCCAGCTTTTTCGCCCAATCGTATTTATTGTTAGTGGCACACTAGTGCTCACACACCTGAATGTCATAAAGCCAGCATATAGGAAATAAAATAAAATTGACCTAAACTTCTGAATTTAACTCTGAAGAATGGTTTTCACATATTAAGAAAGTCGCATAACTGCCTTTGTCGAAGCACTGATTGTTAAAATTGAGGAAGCTTTCATAACTCATGAAAACTTCGTGATCTCAAAAGACTTTACCATCCTATATTAGCATTTCCCGAATTTTTATTGAATTTTCGCGTAAATGAAAGTATCTAGTCTCTAGTTACTTGAATGATTTTTCTATCTGACGTAAGAATCGTACATAGGAACTATTTGTGTTTTTTCTTTGCTGAAACTAGCAACTTATAAAAAGCATAATGAATGCTTTCACACTACAGTCATGTTTTAACGCACGCATTCCCTGCCACATGTCTCCCAGTCACGTTTGAAAAACTAGCTTCGTATGAACTTGGCCCAATAGCACCGAAACGATTGCTCACCAAGGCGTTCATGTCGTTGCTTCTTCCACTTGCTTTGAGGCGAATGATGCCTCAGCGAGCCTCGCAGTGTAGCTTATATACTAGTCCTACTGTGGGAACAGTGTATTTGGTGGCACGGTAGTCACGTATAAGGCTGCCGTATATCGAAGGTATTTTGAGATTTGCAGCGAACAGGAAAAGACAAGGTCGCTTGCTGCGCGCCTGACGCAAGTAATGCACAGCTCTCGTTCCTTCCTACACTGTTCTTGATGCTACAGAAAGCGGGAACCAACGTTGTGCTTCTTACGGAAAGGCTGACGCTTCCTACAAAACGTAGCCCTGACCATATATAGTAATCTGCATATAGTTACCATATGCCTGCCAGGCATTACTTCGCCACCAGTGCGTGGAATTGTTTTGAGTAGTAGTTCGAAAGTGCTTCCTATCTATTAAAGGGGACACGGAAATGAGCCTGGTTTTAAAGTTTGTGGGTGTGCTTGAAGTGGCGGAAGAAAGCTGAAATTAGACTTGCAATGTGCATCTTTTGCCGCTTTGTTTTCTGCGTTAGTATTGACACACTGATAACACTTAGCTAGTGTGTGTTGGGGTGAAACTGACATTAAAAAAGCAGTCATAATAAGCACCAAAGTACCACACTAATAAGATTTTTCCAGTTGAATGTGTTTGTCTATAGAACGCTCCACAAACGCGCTCATTGAAGCATTGTTCTCTTCCTGGAGCAAGAACGATTGCAATGACTATCTCGGATTTTATTACCATGATAGCGACCCTGTCAGTTTACGCATAATTCTGCAGTTTTTAGACTCTGCAGCCTGTAGCAGCATGCAACATTTTGCGTTTCATTTTTATTGATGCTCTTACGTGAAAATGTTTTGCTTGTTATGCTTTAGGTCTTTTTCATTACTTATAAAAGTAAATGTTAACAATCTTTCAACTTTTGCATGATCGCAAAATACTCAAGTGATAAGCATTGCGAAAGACAGCTCGTTAATGAGGCACATATAAGAAGGATTTCTTTAAACAAAGAAATAAAAGAGGTATCTTCGGACAAGTAGCATGACAGCACATGAAAATTGTTTATTTGTATAATACGCGCATGTATTTGAAACTAAATGGAGTGTTCTGACAGCTACTTTCAGCGCTTCTAAGACAGTTATTTTCAGGATGTAGGTACTGACTCCTTGCAACGTTTTGTGTTTCTTTCCAAGAATTTTTTTTAATTGTGGTCTGAAACTAACCACACCTAGTGAGCCAGCCCTGAGTTTCAATTTTGTCGAAGCAGTGAAATCGCTAAAAAACAAGATGGAGGGGGGCGGTTTTACAAAATGGTACTTCACTTTCTTCGCGACATGGGTGAGATTTTGGTGTGTAATATTTAGCTCAACATGTGTTTGTGCCGACATTGAACCCTTTATGTCAGGTATTTTGTATTTTTTGTGTTTAGTAACGTTCTAATATACAAATATTTTAGCGCATGTCTTTTCTCTTTTATTTTTTGTTTAGTTAGTTGTTAGTGCAATCATATACTAATGTATTCCCAACTCTCACGTAGAATTTCTACCAAGTGGTCTCCAATAGGTCAAAAATTTCGAAATGAGCACTTTCTCACTGAAAAAAATGAAATCGGCGCCATGCTTGGCTGCCTCGCCAGTGCATTTTTAGGGTGTCACGTCTATTTTGTGCTCTCCAGAGAGAATAATGACGGCAAAGATAGCCGCCAATGAAAATATCTATCGAGTTGTTCTGCACCAACACATGGGGAAGGCGCGGTGACAACATATGTCCTCAAGACAACAACGCTTTAGGCAAGTCATGCCTGCGTTCTTCAAGATAATACCTATTCAGTGCTTGAACGAATATGAGTCGAAGGCAGCAATGTTTGTACAGGGCCGCTAAAACAAGTTTAGGTGCTGCATGCCTGGGCCTTGATTTAGATTCGCGAAGTTGTAATCAGGTTAAGTAATTGGCAACGAGATTTTTATTTCTGTCCTTGTTCAGATGAATGCGGTAGTATGCTATGCACTTTCATTGGCAAAATGGGCACATCAGAAAGAGAGTACCGTGATAAGAGCGAGGCAAAACCGGCATCATGCCTTCTGCTTTAAACTTGAACATGAGAACTCTTTTTTATTTTCCCCTTATATTGTTAAAGCTACTTATGTACAAAGCACTTGCATCTGCTAAGTATTTTGCATAAAAATCCACGTACTTAGACAAACAGTTGTTTTTAAACACACTGTGTGACATTTCCAAATACGAAAGGGGAACCTAAGCGAATTAATTATATTCAACAATTACAGCAAAACGTTTACCTTGTACTGTCACAAGTACCGTGGTAATAAGCACCAGAATATACAACCGTAAGCCAGTTATCTTTCGAGAAAACCGATTCCAAAAATTGGTAGCCACGTCTTGAATCGCACTTCTGAACTCGGGTGGACCTGTGCACGCGATGTAAGTGCCAAATTTTTTTCAAAACCCCGCCTTGTCTAGCAGACATATGCAGCGTGCACTTTCTTCTATGAGGCGACGACGCCGCGAATACAGTTAGCTTTTCTCAGCTACATACAGCGTGTTAGTCGTCATTGACGTCGGTTCATAAAGCATGTGAAATATGGAGCAACAAAGAGGCTGATTCGGGGAACGCCCGTCGCTTCAGGTGCCGGTGGGTCAAAGTCAGAGGCAATGCTTCCGCGCATAAATTGTAGGTGCAGTCATCGGTGAACTTGTGCCCGGTACGTTCAAACGAGCTGGCGCAGCTTGACTTCTTGTCGGATGATATCGCCAAGTATAGGTTCTCGCGCATCAGCAAAAGTGCGCGAGCTATGTTTCCACTCTGGCTTGCCATGGGGGTGTAGTGTGTAGCGGATTTTGTTACGTCATCGGTTAACAAATTCAGTGACGTTATACCAAACCGACCATGGATGACGGTACAGCTCCCTTCTCTGGTTTCTATGTTGACTTATCGTTCACGAATGTCGTAATTATTCACGAATGTCGAGGGAAAATGAACCACCGTAGCTGTTGCAGGACTGTTAATATTATTTGAAAATGGCGTTGTCTTAGAACGGTAAAAAATGCACCATAATTCTCCTTTAAGCCCCTGATGGGGGTGGAAGTCAGAAATAAGACCAAAAACTTGATTTACTACCACGCATTTTTTAAACCCGAACGCACGAGTGTACTCGTAGACCATGAAGTGCGTAAGTGCCAGTTGCGAGCATCCTGGCGTACCACTCTTGTAACAGCCTAGCAAAATGAGTGAGTGTCAACTTTTATTCGTCGAAGGGGAAAGGGCAGCCTAGCAGAAGACACCAGCACAAGACTGTCCATCGCACGCAGACACGTGTTCTCATTAATTTCTCTACTGTGCTCCGTTAGATGTCTCTAATTTACTGGGTGATCAATTTTCGCGCGTTCAGAATAAAAAAAAGGTCAGCTGTACTGCTTGAACCTGTTTGAAACATTTATTGCCACGATGAACGCACAGCGCCATTCTTTGCAATCCAGGTGATTAGGACTACAATTGTGTGTATTATGGGTTAAAAAAGAAAAAAAAAAAGATTGTTTGTTCTGAAGCACGATAACAATCCCGCGAAAATTAACCAACAAGATGGGAGAGAATGACATACTGTGTAGTCGCCGAACATCAACTTAGCTTACTGAATCATGCTGCAAGGGTCAATATTCCACATTACAAGATCAGCTCATTATGGCAAACTAAGCAGAAGAGCATACTTTTTTCCCTTCTTCACGAAAGGCGTATGCTTGTTTATTCAACCACGCACAAGCATATCAGCATCTGTCTTCAACCTTATATGCACAGCATCCACGCACTTACACGGATAGACATCTTTTTGCGCCACGTTTTGCGCCATAAAGATAAACTCGCCCAGTTTTTGTACGCTGCTGCGCACATTGTAACGCCAAGTTACACGCTTGCTTCTCCACCGAAAATTGTTTTTCATCCACCCTAGGTGAATGTATAGCAGAATCGCCTTATCGGGCGATTTACGGTCGAGGACCTCTTGAACATGAACACAAAAGTGCATAACGTCCACTATGCCGGGCAGCTAAGCCTTTTCCACCCTATATTGCCTCAGTCTGAATAATGTTTCCGAACTATTTTACACCAGACAACTGTGCAATGATACACCATGAGCTGTTAGCTGTCTACATGTTAAACTTTTGGTACATGTGAAATTGACTCCACTATAAAAAGCCACTCTTGTACGTGCACTTTCTGCGTTTAGATGAAACGCCACACACATCCGCAAACGTAATGGAATACAGGTCTTAGTGCTTCACACATCTCCGTTGTGAAAGGCATTCCGAGTGTGCCATATATTATACAGACCTATGGGTATTATATGCTATCAAAAACGTTTATTTAGGTCCGTCGGGACGTGAAATAGCACGTAGCGGGCCACTCTCAGATCAAGACTGATAGGCCTAACCTCTCCTTCACGTGGTGGGCCCGTTAGACTGCATGTCCATATCTGTGGGCCTAATCCGTACTACATAGCGCAGCACCCCACTTGGACGGTGTACCGTTTTCAACCCGTAACGCAGGGCACTGCCAGAGCATATGATCTAAGCTGGCAAAGTCTGAGCAAAGCACGCATGTGTTTGACGTCTGAGTTTGGGAGAATTTCTGTGCAAGAGTGCAGAACAGGGATATACCCCACTTGCAGTAAAATTATGAATACCTTTCAATTTTACTATGCTCATATAGGTTGTGAAATAAGTGGTCACGGCATTTGAAGAAACAAGGCTATATTTACATTATTTACATACAGCAGTTAGAACAGTCTATGGCGAACGCTTTCTTCTGTCTCTTCTTTTTTTTCGAGTACACGCGTTCTTGCTTGCTTGCTTGCTTGTTCCTTTCTTTTGTGGCTCTCACCCACTAAGGGGGATTTGGCCAAGAAGCCGGTGGTTAATGCAAGTCAATACCTAAAGATTTCTAGACTAGGGGAATATGATTACTGTGTTTTGACTGTGAAATTAATTTGGCGCAACGTAAAAAAA